TTCAGGTGGCAACAAATTATTAAGTGCTACAATATAATCAGGAACTTCCCACTCGGCTTCATTTGGTAGAGGAAATATAGTTTCGGCATACGCTGCTCTCCAAAAATCAGTCATATAATAATGACTGCACAAGCTGTGTGGTGGAAATCCTCTATACATAGCTACTGCGACAGCATGTGCACATGGAAAACTTTCCAACTGAAATTTTCTGCACGTGCAGGTATTGTCATTCAAGTCTACAATGTATCCAACATTGTGCCCGCATCTCACGGAGAAGCGAAATTGATCTAGTGGTTCCACAAATAGAGCTTTTGCCACTTCCAGAGTTTTGAATAGTCGATCTTCCTGTGCCGGAGCTAGCACACTCGTGCAATTTTGGGATTCTTCACGTCGGTCATAAAACCACTGTTGCAACTTGCTGCGAATATGTTCTATCATTGCGAGAATCGGTAACTCTCGATCCTTCTTGAATAATGCATTCAGCGACTCTGCATTATTCGACGTCATCATGTTGTATCGACGTCCTGGAAAATGTGACCGTGCCCAATGTTCGACCCCCATTTCTGATAGATATTCCCATGCACTTTCTGATTTATGTTCTATTTCACCCATGAACTTTGTAAACTCTTCAAAGCTGTAAGCTTCTGCAGCTCTCCTAAACAATGCAAAGATGCCACTGCCCCGGTACCTAGTCTTCAGATTGCCCTGAATGTGGTACATGCAATAACCATGATGTGCTTCTGGAAAAACTTCGGCTATACCATTTATTATTGACTGCCCCCGGTCAGTCACAAATGCAAGGTTCTCGATGTTCCCAATTACTTCTCTCAACTTCGTGAAGAACCAACGCATTGCTAGATCATTCTCTCCATCGACAATGCCAAATGCAAGAGGGTAAATTTGGATATTGACATCTTGACAAGTAGCAATAATCAACTTTCCTTCATATCTAGCTCTTAGGGTTGTACCATCAACTAGAATTAGAGGTCGCATAGCATTTCGAAAACCTCTAATGCATTGTCCAAGAGCCATAAAAAAATACTTAAAGCGATTCTGCCCATCGGTTTCAATAAAAAACGTCGAGTCAGAATTAGTTCTCACCATGTTGTGGCAATACCTGGCCAATTTGGCATAACTCTCCTCTGCCGAACCCATTAAATCTTCCAATGCACATTCTTTAGCCTTCCAGGCCTTCTGATCACTCATAACCACCCCATACTCTCGACGGATGTCGTTGATGATATCTGTAGGTCTGTAAATCGTCCGTGGATCCTGAAACTTGTGCATTATCTGTCGACCAATAAACCATGATCGAGCTTGCCTGTGATCATTTTGACGAATACCCACTTCACAAGTATGTTCCCGCGCGTACTTACGAACAACAAAGAACTCATTTGTATCCATCTTTGTCGCACTCAAACGCCAACTGCAATTGTTGTCCACACAAATAATTGTGTATGTAGACTTATTTGATTTTTTTACCTTAAACTCAAAATTATGTTTCATTGCAATTCGGTGTGCGGCTTCTTGCAAATCTCTTTTCGTGTCAAACAATTGATCGACATGTAAATCTTCATCATCAGGAACTACACGCGAACAATTAGAAGACCGTGTACTGGGCCCAGCATGTGAGCTCCCACCAGACTCATGTCTCTGTTTGGATAAAGCAATCAAATCCTTATTTGTAAATGGCCTTTCATCCTCGTTGTCTTGAACTTCCTCGTAAATCCTTCGTGTAACGGTGACATCATGGTGAGTAGCAATTGCCCCAGGAATAACCACATCATCCTCCCGAGCAACCTCAACAGTATCCCAAAAATCATTCTCATTACGATCCTCTCCATCAAAAACTTCGTGTTCACCCTCGATGACATTTTTCTTCAACAAACTTACGCAAATAGGAGTCGTCTTTCGACCTTGGTTCAATTGAATTAGATGCTTTATTTGCACTTCAGAAGTAACTTTCAAAGGTGGAATCGAAATTGTTGAATGCTTTTGAAATAAAAATCCCAA